CAACAACAGCAGCAGGTCGTAAATCAAATCGAGGACGTTCTTCAACAATGTCACAAAAACGTATTAATCTTCGACAACAACCTATTGATGTATCAGAAAGTTCAGAAAAAAAAGATACTAAAAATATTTATGAAGAAATCGATACTATTACTGAAAATAAAGAATCAACAACAAAAACTTCTGGTCGAAAAAGAAAAAGTACAACACCTGTAACAACAATTTCTACTAAACGAAGGTTTGAATTAATAAACAATTATTTTTTGTCTTATTTAAGAGATTTATTTCAAATTTCCTATGAAATATTCTCAAGAATAAAGTTCGTCGTATCAGTTTCGAAAAGTTTTATATCGAATGAACTCTATCAATTTGAGATAAATGTATCATGTACTAATCAACAAATATACAAAAAAAAACGTAACTCATATCTTCGGAATGATTATTCAATTTTGATTTGAAAATTCTATTGAAAGTATCAAGGTATAATTCGATCGGATCGAACTTCTGAAAAATTTGATCAATCGAGTTCTGATAGATAATCGAAATCATATTTATTTTATTCGTTTGTTTTTTTTTTTCTATATAAATGTTTAAAGATAAAAATTTCTTCCGAGATTGATTAATCTCATAAATATCTATTTTAATTCCTAATCTATCATTTTTAGATCTGAGACAATTCACAGTTCTATAAATCGATTCTTTTTCGAAATTTATTCAAATTGATTAATTATTTTCATTTGAATTTGATCTACTGATAATGTTAATATAGTGATTCTATTTAAGAAACATATTCAGAAAATTGATAGCTATATTATATATTTTGAATTAATCTATTTGAATAGTTTAATTTTCTCAATCCTATATTGTTTCAAGTCTAATCATAATTAATTACGAAAAGAGTTTTTCTGTAAGATTAAAGTTAAAATATTAAGATAAAATTGTTTTGATTTTAGTCGTCGAACAACACCACAAACAGTACCAACAATGCGTACTCGTCGTCAACAACCTCCTACAATTGAAATATCTCCAATAGTTACTAAATCTAATAGACGTACACCTGTTGGAAAACAACAAGAACAAATAGTTACTCCTCCTGATATTACAACAACTCATAGTACGACACCAAAACGTGGTAGAAAATCAACAAAATTAAATACACCAATTGAAAAATCTCCCGAAAAATCAAATTCAATTGTTGATCGACCTATTCGTATTGCTTTAAGTAGTCATTTGGTAAAAGAAAAAAATTCCATTCTATAAATATTTATTTATTTATTGAATAAAATTTATTTTAGAATTTTGATCAAAATCATATTGATACATTAGGTAAATTAGGTTTTGAAATAATGGATGAATCATGTCAAGTTGATGCTCTTGTTGTTGATCGTATAAGACGTACAAAAAAATTTTTTATGTGTCTTGCACGTGGTGCACATATATTATCTCCTCAATGGATTGAATTAATGATAAAAGAAAATCGTTATATACAATATGATAAATATTATTTAGAAGATAAAAATGCTGAAACACGTTATGGATTTCAATTACGTGAAAGTGTTCGTTTAGCTAAACAAGGTCTTATTTTTGAAAATTATAAATTTTTTTGTACAAAAGATACATCACCACCATATGAAGATTTAAAAGATATTATTCAAGCTGCTGGAGGTAAATTAATTGAAAAAATTAATATAAATAAACCAGGAAAAGATATTATTTGTATTGTTGCACAAACACATAAAAATCAATATGAAGATTTATTTAAAAAAAATATTCCTATTCTTAGTGAAGAATTTATTTTAAGTGGAATATCAAAACAAAAACTTGATTTTGATTCGTAAGTTTTTTAAATTATATTTTAAATAAAAATATTATTTTTATTTTTAGTTTCTCTTTATTTCAAAATGCTACAACTATTAAAACAAATACTGGAAAATAATATAAAACATCTTTTTCTTTTTCTTTCTTTCTTCTTCTCATCTCTTGTCATGTTTGTATATATCTTTATTTGTTAAAAACAAAAACACATTTATTTTTCCTTAAACAAAACAATTATATTTGATCTGTGCACTTGTATTATATATATATATATATATAAAAACTGTCTATGATTAGATTCTTCAATTTACTTTTTTTTCTTCTTTCAGCTATTAACTAAATAAAATCATAATATTAAATAAATCATATTTTCAAAAAACATATTTATACAAATTTTCTCTCAATCAACAAATTTAAAAAATTGATTCATTTAATCATTTATTCTGAAAAGAATTTTTTTGTTTTTTATTTCAATATTTTACAAATATGTTTGATAGAAAACATTCGACACTATTTTATCATATTATATGATTATGATGTATTTTCTTCATTCTTACCTACCAACATAGGCTAGATGCCTCAATTATTATTATGCAATTGGATTGGATTGGATACTCAGCACAAAATCCAATCCGAAAAATTATTCGGGTTCGGACTTTAGATAAATCTGGATACCTGATCCGACAATATATGAGATATTGATATTTTAAAATCAAACTACTTTATATTTAATCAATATAAAAATGAAAAACAGTTTAATCATGATTAAGCTATTTATTATTGTTAAGAATCGATCATAGAAATAAAAATCAATATTTTTCTTTTTACTAAGAAAATTTATTTTTAATGAAAATTTATTAACAGATGACGATAAATCATATGATGATAAGTAATTGAATAAATTAAAAATAAAATAAATTATTAAAAACCTTAAAAAAAGTGAACATAAATATAATTATAGTTAAGAAAGTGTTTAAGTATATATTTTTGATCAACATTAAGTTTTATTCCAATTTTATTAATAAAAATAATTAGATTTTAGAAGAAGAAAAATACAAAATTAATTCTGAATGATTTGATTTTTTTGTTAAATATGAAATGATATTTTCTTTTTATTTATTTCTATTAAAGAGAAATAAAAGAGAATATTTGAAAATTGTACTTTAATTGTCAAAGTATCTGCTGTATATAGATTAGATTCGGTTCATGTACAATTAAAATAATAGTCTCAATCGACTGAACTGAGCCGAAGAATACTTCCCTATGGCCTATCGAACTTTAACTAACTCCGTCCATGAATCACTAATATTATTCCATTGGATTTATTTCAAACACATCAATGAACAAATCATATTTTCTATAATAGTTGTTGATCTATAAACAAATATTCGATAACATATTTAAACATTTGAAAAACGTTCAATTATTCCCGAATCCATTAGTATTTTATGATCTTTTAACTGAAAAATCTAAGACATTTTAACATAAAGATATGTTTACTTTTTCATTCTTTTTCAATAACAATATTAAGTTTAGAGCAGTTAAATTTTTAATTTGTATTGTCGATGATAAGAACTTGAAATAATCTGATAAAATATTCTCTATCAAGATTGATAGATCTCTCGAAATCTTAATAAAACTTCTTCAACTAACATTATCATAACCAGTTTTCTGGTATTTATTAGAAATCTTTTCGAATAATTTTATTTGATACAGAAAAAATTATATATTTTGTTTGTCTTCATGATCTTTCTTCATCAAATCGTATTCAATTTATATAATACTTCACTGTGTCAAACATGATTATATCATGAAAGTTTTTCAAAGAATAAAAGAAAAATTCTTATTGAGTTCTCTATAAATTGAATGGAGTTTAATGAAGAAATCCCATTGTAAGATAAAAAACAAAAAAAAAAAACCTTTCATTTTGCTTAGAATTATTTGCTCTATTATATAAAAATATTTTCGAAAAGGTTCGAGTAGTTTTATTGATGTTTTTAGGTTGATCAATTCTGATAGAGAATTTTTTCAATTTCTCGTTCTGAAAAATAAAAAACTAAGCAGCTAAATTCGAATCAAATATTTATTTTTTTGAAAAAAAAAGAATAATGAAAGACGAACAATAAATATTTTGAAATATTAGTTTATCGACTTTAAATAATTTATTTATTGTAAAATCATAATTTGT